CACTGTAATACCACCTCCCTTCAGCTTCCCGCTGAGCTGTTTATTTCGGTCTGCACGGACCGTCTTGAAGCCGGGTACAGATGCATTACAGTCTGGGATGTGTTCATGCAGTCATGTCTCAGTGAAGCACATAATACTGTACTCTCTGTGCTCTTTTTGAGACCTTGTTATAGCATTTCAAGCTCGTCCATCTTGTTAGCTAGCGATCTTACGTTACCCATCACAACAGTTGGAAGAAACGGTTTAAATCTCCACCGTTTTTCTCTCTGCCTTACCCCTGCTCTGCAACCTCTTCTCTTCCTCTTTAACTCCACTGGGATCTGATGTATTATTTCACTGAAAATTTTGACTTGGGAGAGTTTTAACAGTTGATCACGGTTGTAGACAATTTTTCCGTTGCCATGGATACTCATCATAACAACTTGTGAAAAAGGCTAAATATATGTAGAAAAATCTCCTGACTTGCAGAGATTTCAACTCAGCATAAAAAAATCATCCAAGAAAAACCTAATCTGACAGGTAATGTCAGTAAAAAGACAATACATCAAAAAAAAACTCAAAAGCAAAGGGAGCTGTTACAAGTTGCTGCCACCTAGCGGCGCATTCCAGAACAAAAGTGGGGGGAGAAGATTAGGGGAAGGACCTGCAGCAAAGGGTTATGAGCAGGACTCGAACCTATGACCGCTGCGTCAGGGACTGAAGCCCTCAGCTCAACCAGGTGAGCTATAGCGGCACCCAATTTGTTCTTGATAGATAAAGTGTATATCTTCTCAGAACTTTATTGATATCACAATATACACCAGCAACACCTCAGAAACTCACTATCTGCTCAGATAGTTACTTTAGATGGTATTGCCTTAGCGTCTAGTTCCATAGTAAGGAACCTCGGGGTTGCTTTTGACCAGGATATGTCCTTTAACTCCCATATAAAACAAATATGTAGGACAGCTTTTTGTCATCTTCGGAATATTGCCAAAATCAGGAGCATCCTGTCTCAGAGTGACGCTGAGAAACTAGTCCATGCATTTATAACCTCTAGGCTGGACTATTGTAATTCTTTATTATCAGGATGTCCCAATAATTCTCTTAAAAACCTTCAGCTTATACAGAATGCTGCAGCCAGAGTTTTGACAGGA